TAACCAATGAGATTTTTTCTTCATCTTTTGTTTTCTAAAAAACTTTTTTATTTGATGATTAAATAGAGTTTAATCATTTCTCTATACAGTATCTATAGATATAATAATAAAGTTTTCTTCTTCTTTTTTGTTAATCTTTTCAAGACATTGTAATGTATCTTCTTCCTTTTCACAATATAATGTTGTCCATGCATTGCTATTGATAAATTCTTTTTTGAAGAGTTGAAAATCTTTTGCAAGTCTAATGTATTTTGTAAATATGCTATTTGTTTTGGTTCAGTTTTTCCTGGGAACCTGGAAATGAACACATCCATTTTATATTCACCATCCACTTTGATATGAAAAGAATTGATATTGAATGTCTTTAGTCTATTTCTTATATTATATATATATTGCTCAGTTATATTATCTTCTTTAATCTTTTTACTGATAACTTCCATTTCAATTATATCTTCAAGCTCCTTATCTCTCATTTCAATTTCAGTAATATTTGGAATTTCAACTATTGTAGTTGTTTGAACTTCCATTGCAATTGCCTTATCTAGTAAGCTGTATATAGAAAGATTGTTTTCAGGTATTGTCTGACTTGACATAATATTTTGTAAAGAGTATTGTGCTTGCTTAGCTTGTTCTATTATGTTCAAGTATTTATTCTCTAAAAATGGAGTTAGAAGATTTTCTTCTTTTCCTTGTTCTTTGATCTATAGATAAAAGATGTATTATCTGAAAACATTGGCTTTGATAAAGGTAGTATGATCGATATTTAGAATTCTAGCAATGATACTATCTATAATTGAATATTAGGTTGAACTCAAGGTGAGGTTCATGGTGACTTTTTGAGTTGAAGTAATATTAAGGAGGATTTGTGTTGCTTATAGTTTCCATTGTTAATTGTATTTGCCTAATAATTAAACTAAGGTTTCTATAATATATGCTTCTTTTTTTTTAGTAACCTGTAAAAGTTTGTATTTTCTTATAGACATGTTGATTATGTAATAGGAAATAAGTTAACTATGTTTGGTATTATGTTTTGCTGATTATCATTACTATATTTTCTTCGAAATGTGTTACAGATTTGTTTATTCTTTATTATTATTTTAATAATATGAAAAAACCTTGTTGTTTGTTGTGATGTGTTAGTAATATTTATTTCACGTGTATATTGTAATAGTATTGCTAATATTGTTGATCAGTTAATAGTAAACATATGGATTATAGGGTTATTGATAATTAATTTGTATAAACACATAAAAAGTATATTAATGTTATTTATTTGACACATCTTTTGAGCTTGTTATGAAAAGTATACGTATCTATATTTGCATAATATAATATTATTAAAATGCTGTTATTGTAATATGTATATTTCTTTACTGTATAGTCAATGAAGCTTGGATGTCCTTCTAGGTTTTATGAGTATTTGGATTTGGATTGATTTATTAGTTTGAGTTATTGCTTGTAAAGTTTTTCTTGGTATTTTGAAAGATGTTAACCTGTACTGATTTGGCTAGGAGCTTTGTGAGGTTGATATTAGGCTTCCAAGAGCTTACTGTAATTCAGTCTTTCTTGTTGCTTTCTCTTTTTAAAAGAAAAAATTTATATAATAAAAGTTAGTAATTTTGTAAAACTTATTTATTCTGCACTCTGTAAAGAATTTTTGAACTTGTTTTTATAAGTTGTTTAGTTGTAAAGGTGGTTTTTCTTGTTTTTTTGGCTGGTTTTTTTTTCTCAAAAAGAAAATTTTCTGAAAAATTGAGGATCAGTGAAAAGAGTTTTTTTTTTTTACTATATATGCTATAAAAAATATATCTATGAAACTATTTATTTTATATATTATAAAAAAATATATTTATCTTATATGTCATAAAAAATATATCTGTGAAATTATCTATCTTATATATTATAAAAAAATATATTTGCAAAATTATCTATTCTATATGCTAAAAAAAATATTTTGTAAAATTATTTACATATTTTATTCTATCTACACAAAAATTTAAAACTTCTCTAATGTTAAAATAAATTATATAATAAATAAAATAAATAAAAAATACCTTTTTTTTTGTTTTAAAATAAAAAATTTGTTTAAAACATCATAATTGATTAAATTTATTGAACTAATAAAGAATTATCAATTAGTAAATTTATCTGATATTATATAGAATCAAACTCTTTCTGCTGATTCTCTGACCACACACAAAAAAGACTTTCGCAAAAAGGGTTTTGTCCCTTCTTGCTAACAAAGCCTTAACACTCTCCCTAAATCAACCTAAAGTTAGTTTTCAGAAATTATCTTATCCCCTCTTCTCTCTTGTTTACAACTTATTTCATACAAATCTCAACCACTTGTAATCAAAAAGGTTGGGCAACTATCTTTTCTACTAATGGCAAAAAGGTTCTGAAAGGAAGAAGAACTGATGTGTAGTCACATCACACTGTAGAGAAACACTACATAGTTTTGCATAGGTACAAGAGACTTATTTCTCCTTTTTGTTACCTCTTATGGACTATAAGAGTGCCCACTTCAAGGTTTTTCTAGGGAATTTTGCCTACCTCAGTTTGACCCTAAATTTTAAGTAGCACAAAGTTTCTCACACCATGATTGAATACAACTAAACACATCAGGAAAAAAGAAGTAAACAAGGTTCCATTGATCACCTCACGTGTTTGAATACATTTCCTTAGCTCCATAAAAATCTAAAGTCCACTATAAGTCATTGGGTTGGTACGGATGGATAAGGAATACTGTTAACTCCTACGTCATTGATGAAGTGAAAGAGAAGGAACATACTTTCCTCCTCACCTATCTAGGAAAATAAATAAAGACAAGACTCAAGAGAATACAGAATGAGGACAATGCCTTAAAAGTGTTACACCTATCTTTTACCGCAAGCTTATTAAGAGATCAGGAAGATCTCAGAATCATTTGCACCTAATTATCAACACCAACTTACAGTCACTGGACCAAAGATGCCTAAAGAATGCGCCAGAACTGTAGACAATGGTTCAATCTCTATAGATGGTAATACTCTGAGGAAAATAGCATGACATTTATCAAGTCTGCTAGGACGCATGCTGGAAGTATTAAGATTCTCCTTTCTAGGATGGAGTTATCGCAATGATAAAACAGGACAGACTAACAGATGATGGACTCCAAACTCTTTTCCTTTCTTTTCACCTCTCCTATGTCTTAGAGCCCCCACAAAACCCCGACTTGTTATCACTCAGAAGAACATCTATAGAAGAAAGAAATGAGACCAGAACTGGTAAACAATAGTCGAACATAACCAAACCATTTCTCTCTATTCTCCAGTACCTTTTTTGTAATGCAAAATCTTCACCCCTGTTTAAGCTTGTACAGCCTTGCTCCTCTTATTTATAAGAATAGTTAGTTTGAGAAGTTTGATAAGGTATCGAACATACTTTTTGTCAAGAGGATCTTAAACTTCGACAAATTTTCTGAATAGTAGAACACAACTAGAAACACAACTTTTCTTTTTCTTTTCTTTTTATGTATATTTGAAATTTATTTTAGCATTAGTGAAGCTATACACTAATCTTTTGGTCTTTAAAGAGGTGACCTAGCCACAAGGTAAAGTGACCCTCAAAGGAGATATTTTATTGTTTTTACTTTATTAGATAAGAAAATTCAGATGTATGGTGTTTAAGTTATACTCAATTCCCTCTATCTATGAGTTTCAATAAAGTATGGCAAAGCCAGCGTTTAGAAAAAAAAAATCTGATATTATATAGACAAATAAATTTGCAAATCCCTTTATTCAAAAATATGATATTTCTTTACTATAAGATGTCATAAGATCTGATTCACAATCTTCCCTTCACATTGATTAGTTTTTGAATATACCCATTATAATTCAAAATGAACATTTGATTTTTGATCAAATTTATTTGTTTAAGAATAATTAATTGACTAAGAAGAGAATAGTAAAAAAGAGTTTTCAACAGATTGACAAAATTAATTAATTTTTTTTTTCTAATCATTGATAATATTTTTTTGAATCTGATTGGTTCAAAAATTAAACCAGTGATTTTAAAAATAAATCAAAAAATTATTACTCAAAGAAGATTGGAATTAAATATATTCTAAAAGTAAAAACTTTCATTAAATAATAAATTTTCTTAAATAATATATAAAAAAGAAATCAAAATAAAAATGGATAAGTTTTTCAGACAATTAAAAAAAAAAAGAATATTTCAATTGGATATTTCTTATTAAAAAGAAGTTTTAAAAAACAAGTCTTTGGAAAAAACCAAAGAATTTTATTTTTTATTTTTATTTTCTTATAAGTTTATTTAAATATTTTTAGATAAATACTTTTTTTTTTTTTTAATCTATCCTTTTTATAGTTTCCTATATTTCGGTGGCTTGGTAGAACATTTGGTAGTAATAACTTGTTGACAATGATGTGATGAATTAAAAGAATATTTATTCAAAGACCATTATAGAATAAAATATTGTTTCCAAGATCAAACTTAGAGGCTATTATTGTTTATAACAAGTTAATTAAATTTGACATTGATGTTTAGCTGTAATATGTATCATGTTACTCAAGTAAAAATATATTTATGTTTTCAATTAATTAATAAACTAAAATCTAACCTGACTGCAAATACTCAAAAAATAAATAAATAAATATAAATATGTGTTAATTTTTGTTATCCCAATTTCATGTCACCCGTTTATATATGTGAAACATTTTTATTGTACATTAAAGTTATGGTGTATATGTATTATTATATATAAATTATTATATGTACTGATTAATAGAATAAACATATGACTTTTCTCAAGTGTGCTATAAATAGAATTGGTCGTCGAATGACATTATTAGATAAAAATTTGCATAAACGAATAGTATATTTGAATAGTAACTCTAACCTCGACTTATTTTACACACGCATTACACGTGACGTAAATGGCAGTATTATATTGGTGAAACATCACCGGAAGGCATAGCATATTTTTTTTCATTAGAAGCTTACGTAAAGTCACTAGCTTTGTCCACGCTGGAACACTCTTGGCCGTTTTCACAATCATCTAATTGCAAACTTAATATTGAGTCATAAGACAATTTGCAAGATTTATTTCGATTTTCTTTATCATTTGGTGGATGATCTTCATTTGGATCGAAGAAGAACGGCAAAAGGTTTGATTCTTCATGTGAAGGAAAAATCATATCGACAGAAACTTTATCATGTGGAATATGAGGATATGGTGCGATAGCGATTGGGATTGTTAATTCATGATATTGCATCTTGGTGAATAATTTTCCTGTCTCTGCCTGAATCACGCATCGCAGAGTGTAATAGACCTTTAGATGACGTCCTTGAAATGTGGGAGGAACTTGATGATGTTTTGAGGGCACCGTGAGGAAAAACTCTATATTTCCTGTTTCCTGTTCTTTAATGTCACAACGTTTTTCCGTAGAGACAAGACAGCGTTCATGCTTCTCACAAATAGATCGCTTATCTAGTGGACCTTCATAATGCTTACGAAGAGAACTCTGAACACGCGTAATGCGCCCAGTGGAATAATTATTGAGCAAAAGGGAAAAATTTATTTCCTCCCCTAAAAAATTCGTGCATAAACATAATTTCAATAAAATTAATGAATAATTTTTTTGAATTAAAAAATATCCAAAATAAAAAATATTCACCAGGTGAAAAAACGTGTCTTGGAAGTAGTGCTTCCACCTCTATGGATGATATTGTCTTTTTTTCTTCGAATAGAACATCTTTGAATGTCCATTTTTTATCCGGCGGTGCAAAAGTTGTAGGAACGAATAATGTAACGATTTCAGAACCTTCAACAAGGACTCCTCCTCCTGGACCTTCAATTATTGGCTTCCAGAAATAACGTATTGAAAATCCTTTGGGTCCCTTAAATGTAAAATATGCATCCATTAGAACTAAATTTATATGAATCTGTATTATTTCTTCATTTTAAATACATTTACCTCGACCGATGGGGGAAAGTTAACATCGGGTAACTATAATAACAAACAATTAAATTTTATTACCGTGATCTATAATTCATGTGTTTAATATAACATTTACCTTTAATGCAAAATCGAATATAAATACACCCGGACCAAGCTCTGTCCAGGTACGATATTCATTTACTTTATTACGAGAAATATGTTATTAATGCCATCTGTAAATATATCTCATCATGAAAACAAGGAACTACCTCGCGCCGGGCTTTCCAAGATGCTAGGCCAGATCACATGGTTACAATCGAAGTATACTGTCCGTGCAGTATTGTCGACATATGAAATTTCTGATTTAGCATCCTTTGACGTGGTGACGGTTTCTTCTCCTATGAAGCAGTTGGAATTTTGAACAATGGCGCCATCAAACATCTGTCGGAATTATTCAATATGAATCTCACCTTTGAATTTAATCCTAACGCTAGATATCCACAATGACTTACTCCCTTCTGGTATTTTAAGTACCACAGAACCTGTAGATATTTATACAATTTTTTTAAAAACCTAGTTTTAGTACGATAATTTTATTTAAAGTTTAAATTACCTCTTATGACTTGTTTTGGTTTTAATGTCACCGTCCTTCCCACTTCGAAGTCTACCTTTATTTCTGGCGAACGAATGGAGCTGTTTCTTCTACTACCGAGCTTCATCGAACTACTTGAATTTTATATGATGCAATTAATTTCCTCGTCGGAAGCAGTGACAAAGCTTCGCTTGTTTTCTCTGTATATTATTAAAATAAAAGAATGAAATTCAATTCAGGATACATATATAGTTAACCGTATCAAAAAGCTTAAAGCACGTGACGAATTTAAATTGAGGAACCAATCCAGTCCCAGGACTACTCGTCCAAAAAAGGACCAGACCGAATTGTGATCCTATAGATGGTTTAGACAGATCTGTATTTTTACAAATAATTATCTTATTTAGTAATATTTAATATCAATTTTTTTAAAAAAATATTTTTTTTAACTTGCAACTATATCATCAGGTTAATTAACTATAATATTATAGATTTTTACATCTAAATACTCTAAGTTAGATTTAAAAAACAATATTTTACTCTTAGAAAATTAATATTAAATTTTATTTTTTAAATTTATTATCAATAATTTATTACTATTAATTGTTTTGAAAAATCAATAATTATTAAGTTAAAAAAAAAAAGAACAATTTAAAAAATTTTTAAAAAATTAATCAAAAATAATAATCTTTTATTTAATTGAAATATTTTTTCAGACTTGTGGATCTATAGTACAATAGTAGTGCTCCCAGGTCTCTATGCACTACTTCTGAGTTCAATACCACTGCGAGGCAGTACCATCTAAGCCTAGGTGATACAGGAAGATCACATCCACCCATGATGATGATTATTACCACTTCTGGCCAAGATCCCGTCTGATCACGGGATAGTCAAAAAATCACAAAATACTTCAATCAGTTTTAGTGTTAAAGTCACCTCGTCACAAGACAAGTTCTAACAAGCTCCCGTAGATAAGTTAAAGATCTGTATGCCATTAAGAAGGGACTAACAGAGCTTAGGCACGTTAGTTAAAAAAGAGTCTCTATCAAAATCGCAATCCATCCAAGACTTCACATGATCACCCCATAGGCAGGCTATAATAAGTCATGTAAAAAGGGTCACCTATGGGACGAGATAATATCTAAAACTCCATATAGATATTCTGTAGGCATACTATAATAGGTATTGTAAAAAGAATACCTGGCGGAACAAGATATGAAAGAGGTCCTGTATTACAGATCCAGGGGCCTGTCGAGCATTATTTGTGAAGGTTTCTGAAGGGTAATATAGATGCAAGTAGTAGGGTAGTAGGGATTCTTCCAGCAACAAGCCACATTGGTAGGCTAACAACTTGAAAATGAGTTCGCATTAGTCTACACTGTAACAGACATCAAGTTCGTATTATATTCTCTATAAATATATATAGCCAGGTACGTGCTGTATATAGTTGAAACTCCCTGTCACGTGTGTAATTTCAATGTATGAGACTAAGCCTTGTTATTTCCTTAATAAAAAAAATATATTTATTTATTTTTTCTATTTCAAATTGAATTTTAAAAAAAAATTTTTTTTTTTTTGTTATTTTTTTTTTTAATCCACAATTATATTACGATAGCTTGTCTGCAGTAATGATCTGTAGGCAATGATTTTATTAATTAGAGGATTTATCCAAATTAGTAAAGAAGCGAAATATCATTTCCTAGGTTGCATTTAGAGAAATAACTTTTCAATAACGAGTGAGTCAGTATATGACAATCATAACAATTTGTAAATACCTAGCATATATACAATAAAGACATGCCATGCTGACCTGACTACGGGTTAAAAAAAAAATATATTACGATAGCTTGTTTTTATTAAAAAATTGAAATAAATCTATAATATTTTACAGACTTTTATAACATGATAACTTATCTTTATACAAAAGTACTCTAAATCAAATTTTGGGAACAATATTACACTTCCCCAATAGATTGATAATAATCTCCATCTACTAGGATTATTACCAACAGTTTATCACTGTTGATTGTCCAAAAAACAATGAATTATTAAGTTAAAAAAAAGGAAAGGATAAAAATAATTAGGAAAAGAAGACAATTCAAAACTCACCAAAAAATCCAAAAATAAAAATAACCTATTTTCAAAAGGAATCTACCTGATTAGAATAGTCTTATTGTTTCACTTGAACCTTTAAAAAAATTTTTTTTTTCATCACCTGTGATATTGAATAAGTCAATTCAACTGGTCTTTCATTTAAGTGAACATCAGATTTGGATATCTCAAGGAAAGCATTTAGACCTTAACTTTTTTTCATTAAAATTTTGTCCCCATTTGATAAACTTAAATAAGAAATAGAAATTTACAATCCATATTACTTATCACTTGATCTTTTGGTATCATGGAAGTCTTTATTAAGAAACTTAAGCTTTTTGGAGCAAATGTTTTCAGAACTTTCCTTTCAATCACCAATGATATCATCAGAACATATGAATGTGATCAATTGGAGCTTATTTATATTCCAGAAATTAATGTGTTTTATGTTAGTCAATCACCTTTGGTGAGGATTTGTATTACTCAAAATTCAGGATCATACTGAGGTAGGCAAAATTTCTTAGAAAACTGTGAAAATAGAAACTCTAAAAGGATCAAGACAGTTAAAAAGAAAAAAAATAAACATTTTTGAAATTTCTTTTAGCACTAGCCCAGTCTTGGCAGGTTAGCCCTCCAGATAGGGTAGTAACAAGTTGCAAGGTAAGAGGCTTCTTAGGGAATACCTTTCTATTAAGTTTTACTTGTAAGTAGATAGATAGTACAAAACAGATTCAAACATGTAATCTCCTAATATTACTATCCATCATAACAAGTAAAACAAGGTTACATCAGCATTTAAAAAAAAAAAAATTTTAATATAGTAATAAAGAGGTTTTTGAAGTCCCACAAAAGTCTTTATAAAAAAATTGATCAGTTATTAGAATGCCAAATGCCATCGAGAATAAGGTTATCCACCTAGAAAATGAAATTCATATAAGTTAACATTTAATCATTAAATAGGATTTTATCAAGGTAAGGTTTAATTTTTAATTTTTGAAGAACTTCAATAATATTTTAAATTCTATAATAGCATGTAATTAAGAGTATTATGAAAGAAGTCTTTTTTAAAAAAATATACACAAATCCCGAAGATTTTTGCCAATATACAGAAAAATATTTTCAGTAAGAATATTCAAAGTTTTTCAAAGGCTTACAAGAAAATATTGGAAGACATA